TGAGTAAAAGTTCTCTTCCTCTTTATCTTCCTACATTTTTAAGTAGAATGAATACATATTATAGCATTTAGTAATTTCATTTCTACGATCTTTTAAATATTCTCAAAAAACAATTAAGAAGACCATTGTCGACGACACTAGTAGTTTTTAAGGAGAGCTGGTCCGCCATGAATCAGAATGGTGTCCACGAAAGTGGGGGGGGCATCTATCGTGGAACTTTTAAAAAAAGCTTAGTAGATGCGGAGACAAAGGCGCGCCGGCGAGACAGGGGTGGTGGGAACCGAAGGTACGTCAGTGGGGATTGAGAAGACAGGGATGGAAAATGGTCCAGGAGAGGAGGGATGGTTACTGGAGCGGGCCGTAGGGTGGTTATGATGCGGGTGTAACCTTGGCAACTCTGCATTCCCCTTTCTCGTGGCCGACATCACTCTCTCGACGCCCTTTCCGTCTCATTCTCATCCTCTTTACGTTCTTCACATCTTTCTTCCACCCTTGTCCTTTCTCTATTTCCTTTATTCTTTTTCCTCACACATTTCTTTATCCCGGCTTCTTCGTTCTTTCCCCCTGTTCTCTATCCCGTCATTCTTCATATATATATATTTCCTCTCGGTTTCCTCACTCGATTCGCCTACTCTACTTGACTGCGAATCCCAACCGTCCCTGTACACCGTGCCTCGCCTCCTGTGCGACCCACACATCGATAAACGCAGCGCGCGCGTGTACGTACGTATGCATATCCTTTTCTCCCACGCGACTCCATCCACGGTTCTGCAAATGGAGTAAAAGTGGAACGTGTTCTTGTTCGAATGCATGCTCGTTTCGTACCATTCTCCGCTTGTTTCACCCTTGCGACGATTCATCTGGCCGCCTACCTATCTTCCCGTGTCTCATTTATCTTTTTCTTCCGCGACACCGGCCTATCCCGTTCCCCGTCTCCCTTTCATCTGTTCTTTTTCTCTGAAACGCCGACGCCTCCGAGAGCCACGGAGTGTCGAATCGTCAAAATGAATTTCCACCTACGTCATCCGGGGGACCTCGTCGTTGCGACGGTGAGTATAGGGATGGAAGAAGCGAATCCACCATTTGCGGAGAACACGACTGCGCTCTTAATCTCGTGGAGATGTAAATCGCGTTTAAACCGCGTTAACGCTTTCGCCATGGCTGCCGATGGCACGCCACCCCTCTCGCCAACCTCGGCTTCGATCGACGCAAGCTTTGTTTCCATGGATAACCGCCCGTACGTATGTTATCATTATCTTCCCACAAATGTTTACACCAGTTACATGAAAGGAAACCTTACCTCGATGTGTACTAGAAGGATAACTGTATTTGAACGAAACCATTTGGCGGTTGTTCTTGCCGATTACGAAGTTATGAATTATCTGTATTAAAAGACATTTCTATATTTCTCAAATCAAAACAATAGATCAGTATTATAAGAAGCAAATATCGAGTCGAAAGAGTTTCCAATGTCAGATAAAAATTCAAATATCTTGCCGTCTACTAATCGAAGAAGTTAAATTACTGTTCTAAAGTAGCACTATAAGTCTCTTTTCAAATATTTGTCTCAACTATATTGCTACAGTTTTCGTACTTCCTTGTGCGATTATGTAAACCTTGAAATCCACCTACTGCTCGAAGTAACGGTGAACGTTCTGTTCAAGATTCATGATTATCTTTCGCCAGTCGTCGACGCGATGGTTAGATGTACGTTAATTCCGCTCGCTGGTGGAACTAGTTGTTGCCTATTACCGGCATCAAAACCGTCATCGTTCGACGGGAATTATTCTGCCTGTTACTGTCTCGTTCCACGTGCACGAATCTCAATTTGAAATGAAATAAAATCTCGTACAACTTTTGAGAACAATGAACATCCTACAGTATAAAATCATAAAACAATTGATTTTACTTTGAGGTCTAATGAGAGTAATGAAATATGTTAATTGTACGAGCGATTGATCAAGGATGAATTTATTGCGATACGAGACAGACACCTTCCATATTCCGCGAGCGTCACGGTGACGCGCGTCTCGTCGAACCGTGCGAAATTACGGTGCCCTATTGTTCATGAATACCATTATTACCGTTACACGGTATCATTATCGACAGACAGATTGGACGGGTATTCATATTCATGACGATCTGATAACGGTAGAAGCGAGAACGAGTGAGAGCGAGTGATCACGAAGGGCCCCCGCGCACAATGAAAATCGTTTCGTTTTAGCCAGACGATCATTGCCTCTACTCGCATTAACGGCGTCAATCACGTTCCTCGATTAGGGATGCGGTTACGTGTTTACCTTGTATTCATAAACTAATCGATCAGAAAACGCTTGTTTCCTGCCCAGAACGAGGTGGAAAAGTCAAACAAACGTGTTGCGATAGTTTCCGAAGGTTTACCACAGACAGGTGATTGACTTCTTGAATTGCAATTGGAATCAAGTCGTGCGTAAAATTCTTTGACAATATTCAGAGAATCATGCATCTCTGTGAAATCGATATAGAGAATTTAATAAAAATCCTCAGTTTCACGTGAATGACATAATCGCGATATCTGCGATTGTATCAAACAATAATGGTTCTTAAGAATGCCAATAATGCACGCGCTTTATTTCACGCTCGGTATTCCGAAAACTCGTGTAGCCCGGGGATCTAAAACATTCAAAAATTCTACGCTACGTCGTTCTTCGGTAGCAAATTTCGATTATTCGCGCACGTTCCAAAATCTCGATCACCCACCTTCCGACTGCATTCTCCGAATATTCACACCCGAAAAGAGCAAATAAAGTTACCGAGGCAGACTGTACGAGCCATTGATTAAAATTCTTGTTGCATTAACTATATCTCTACCAGCGTTATAATGAAATTCGGCACTGCTTTTATAATACAGTGCATAACGTTTACGTATTGAAAATGTTTGGTTCCCTTCGTAGTTACGGTACAATGTAAATCTACGCTACGCTCAAACTAATCTACGCTCCAGCCCGCAACGACACCTCTGATAGTATGACAACGCAAACGAAAACAGCCGCACTTCCCACAGGCTCATCTGCATGAAGACGAGGCAGCGCGAGATGAGGAGGACCGAATGAGAGAGCCGGGCTCGCAATAATGTCGTCAGTTTCGCGGAGTTTATTGCGGCATACTCGCACGGCCGCCCGCAGGAGACTTAATATCGTACGCTGTAAGCCCAGGCCGTAATATCGGGGCGACTACCTACCTACCAACCTACCTACCTCTCGACTCGTTTCGTTTTCTACCGCGGCGCGTTTCGTTTCCGCGGCAATTCCCGTTCCCGCTGACACGTCGGGAATCGTGTGCACGTCGCGCGCGTGCATTCCGCTGTCCGGAGATATTTGTCCGCCTCCGACAGCCTCGCTGGACGCACGGCTCAGGAATTCGTGTCGCGAACGATCGGCTGCCCGATCGATAGTCGAACGAGCCGCGAAGCCAGCGACCGTTGCTGCCCCAGCACGGTAATTCGATGAATAGTTTCAGAATTACCGGATTCCAGTTTAATGATTTATTTCAATCGGATAATAAGGAGAAACTAGAGGTACGACTAATCGTAGAAAAATCAAATAGAATAATTTGAATATTTTATAAAACATCAGAATTGTGAAAATATTTCACTAAATTCGAATCATTCTTAATATTATCATATATGTATCAACTATAGAACTTTTAATTTGTTCAATTACTGTATCAAATCTGCGAAGTGAAGTACCCTAATCAGTAAGAAAAAATGGTTTGAACAGTTCAAAACCGACTGGCGAGTAGCGGTAGCCTCGATCGATTGGAGCTCTCGGCCAATCGGCACAAAGAATGCATGGGTTGGACAGCAGGAAATACGGATTCGGTTGACCGTAGACCGTAGAGAACCTGGTTTAATTCGAAAGGTCACGGAGATCGACGGTTTCGAGTTGCACGCTCGTAACTTCCTCTCTTTCGGGACCCTCGCGATTCCCGGGGCTTTGTGTGTTTTGACGGGGGTGTTAACTGACCCCCGCGGTACTCGGGGGTAAGCGCGGTGGGAAGGGCCGTGCTCAAGAACGGAAGAGGGTGGCATTAGGTCGAGGTCACCAGGACGCCGAAGCGATCGATGCAGCCCGCCAGGCAGCACCACCCACGCTTCAGCCCTCTCTACCGCTTTCTCCTCTCCGAAAGAGGAGGAGGACTCCGTCCTTTTCTTCCTTAGCAGCATACAGCCGAATACATCTCCAATTTACCCGATCCCGAGCTCGCCCCGGAACGACTCATTACACCTCGATTTACGTCTGAGCGCGTTTAAATAGAAGCCGCCTGAGAAAAACCCTCGCGCGGCGCGGGTTCAACACGTGGATGCTCGAGCTTCGATCAGCTGTTTTCCCGGGACGTCGTCGACGCTTCTAGATTCCGTCACGTTCCGGCTTCAGAGAATGGAAAGGAATGCCTTTTGAAGACTGAAGGCACCCCCTTTTCCAACAGAGAAACAAACTTATTTTCCAAGAATATGCTTTATAAGGTCTCTTTGAATGCTGTGGACTACGATGAAATGTCCAGCAAAGGGATTCAGTTCTTCACAAGAAACTTTTACAAATATCTCAATAAAAATTTAGAGCAGGAGTGTGTTATGAAGAATTGAAGTCGCACTATGAGACTCTCAATACCACTGTTTGAAAATGTAATATAATCTAACTCTTTTCGAGTGTTCAGAGCTGACTATACACTGTTTGAAAATCACGATGACCCTACGATAGTTCCACCTATGATACTGAAAGTGTTTAATGTAAATAGATGAACGTCTGTCATCTGTCACGTGTTATTTGGTTTCCAAGGCCTCTTCTATCGAATACGCGTTACGATCCTTCCTTTCCGTTCTTTGTTCTCTTGCAAATCTCTCGGTCACTTTGAGCATCGATCCGGCCGGTTTACCCGTGGATTACCAACGATCTTTTAGCCCACGAGTCCGCGGTGACGTTCTGCAATGACGCCGGTTCTCAGAGTGATCTCTGCGTGAGGGAACGCGACTCGTACCATGCGAACAGGTTTAACGCGTTATGACGTGAGTACGCACGAAGATTTTATTAACCCCTGTATAGAATTTTTCCAACTTCCATAGAACAAGTAAATTTCATTCAACCTAATCAAATACGATTATAAAGGGTCTTTGCATTTTTAGGGAGAATCTAGAACGCCTTTACCCAGTGAAGACGATCCTTTTTTCTTTTCGGAAATCGATTTATTAAATCCAAGGTACTAATTCATCGACAATATTTGCGTATTGAAGCATATTTCGAAAACAGTATTAAATACATAGATATGTCTTTTAATTCAAGACAATCCTATCAAAAATTGCGGTACCAAAGTCAGTATATAAAAGGATCTAAGAAAACTTCGTCGGATTTCATCAATACGTCTACTAGAAGCTCCGACTGTTGTTACTGTTGTTGTTGTTGTTGCGATAAAGTCGAGACAAAATTACGTAAGTGATGTAAGTGATGTTACTTTCAAGAATCCAGGTGCATAACCAGTCTCGGTGATTTATGCATAAAATTATTTTAAATACGTTCCAGTACCCGAGAGTATAATTAAAAATACTAGAGAGCGTCGCGCACCGAGAGTTCAATACTTCACAGATTGTAGTCTTAGAAAGAAACATGAGGTAATGCTTTTACGAAAAGTAGAGTAATTTTGCGAACAGTGAACAATTACTGGATATTATACTAGAAAATTGTTCCTTATTCTTCCTGGGTTTTCTAAATATCTCCAGTATCCAAAGATACTTCTTCCCGGAAATTTAATAAAGGCAATCATATATCGAGCTGTCTCATCAAAGTCGGGTGACTTCTTTGTTTCACCCCCATTTTCTCTTGCAGCCCCAGGTAACTTTCGCCAGGGAGGAGTCTTCCAACAGCGACGAGGATATTAGCGGTAAATCTCCCACGAAACTTTGGTAATTATCCGAAAAGTTCTGGCGAGTCACGTGCGCGCCCTTAAATCACGTATGCGTCTGGCCGCGAATCGTTTCTAACGACACCTAATGCACTCCCTTGACAATAGGAGGGAAAAGAGTACACCGCGAATAGTCCGAGCGATCCGCCGTCACAGCAGAAAATGTAAGTGATAAAAAATACTCTAATCAGCGCGTTCGAGTTTTGGGGGCGATTACAGAAAGATGGCAATAATTTTTATTCAAGTGGACTAACTACATAGATTCTGTTATTGGATATTTCGATTTCTACTTGTTTACTCAACAGTTTCTCTCCGAATTCCTATATTATATGATCACAGAAGGTGCATTTCATTAAATTAACAATTATAGACAAGAGCCAAATCTAAATATTTATTTAACGAGAAGCTAAATAATCTGGGAAATACATTCCTTATTCTTCGATGAATTATCAATTCCTGATCTCTGCAATTGTTAATGAAATAGATAACCAAATTAAAATTCGAGAGCGACTATTGTAAATTTTCTTAAAAATCATTTTCTCATTGTTTATAGCGGTTCCATGATTCTGATCATCCCCAAGCTCAGAAAGCCCGCAAACTCTCGTTCGCGTATCTCGATCCGCTGCCACCCCGATTCCATGTACTTGTTCCTATTCGCGGTGTTCATCTTCGCCTACCTGTTCCTCGGCAAGGAGCGCGACAACGCGCGCGTGATCGGAAGCGGGGTCAACGGGTTGGGCGACGGTACTCGCAGCGCATCCCCGCGAAGAGCGCCGCTTTAATAAACCCGGAACGTTCGTAGTCGAGCCGGTCGACGGTGAGGATCGATCGGAATCGCCGCGGCCTGGAAACAGCAAGAGCAGCGTGGTCGTTCTGTATCACGAGAAATCGCCCATACCACCTCCCAGAGCCGTTCGGTCGGAACAAATAATTCCGCGAGCACCGAGTCCACCGGTGGTACACACCGTTCGATCCCCGCGTCAGGAGAGGTAATTAAGGCCATTACGAGTTTAACTCAACTACGGATATATCTATCAAAATGGATTCAGAGTAAATTGGCGAAGTAGCTCTACTTCAGGCTTGGAGCAAGGAATACTAATGTAAATATTCATGAAGTTGAGATAGTATTTACTTAAAGATATGTTCTAAAATTCACGTAAATACTTTCTAAAACAACAGACTCTATTATCTCTAGCTTATTTTCTAAAGAGAATTGAACCTTACCCTACTGTATTTTTTTTACAAATATTGAGCCATTAATTTGACGAGTTTCGTTTAATGAAAAATTTTAACTATAGTAATGTTTAAATAATATTTGAAATTGTTGCTTTTTACATAATTATTTACAAAACTCGGTTTTGCAAAAATATTGCATTGATATTTCTGCCATTTATCAGATATATTCCCAAATCGATTTTTCTGTACCATAACGTTGATACCACTCCGGGAACTTTTTCATCCAGGTCGGATGAAAGTTTTCCCATGGCATCGAAACAAGTTGATCGAATTTTCTAAAGAAATCCCCGTTTTCCTTTCGGACAGGTCGCATCTGGTCGAAACTCCGGAGGATCGATCTCCTGTGTATCCAATTGGCCGAAGAAAAGCTACTTTGAGACGACGTCGACGTTTATCAAAGCGGCGAAGACCAGTCAACCCGAACATTTATCAGGATAGCCGTGTAGCAGAGGCTGTATCCTTGCCCAGAGATCATTGCGCCGCCTGCTCGAAGGAGGTTCAGTTTCCGGAACAGAGACCTGATCTGGCTAGATACACAGTCAAGCCCGCAAAAAATTTGATTACATCGGGAGGAGACACTTCCACCCTGCATGAGGACGATTCGGACGATCTTGATCGAAATAGGAAATCGAACGTCCAAACCTTTGGGGAACGATGTCGTCCCTCTGATAATTCCGTTTTGAAACTAATGGCTCGTTCCAGGTAATTCGCGGTAACGCATAGCAACTCTTTCGTCTAATTGTATTCCCCCAATGTTAAAAGAAAATTAGTCAGAATCTACTGCATAATCCTGATAAAATATATCCGACGACAGTTCATTGTCTACAATCGTGGAAAAGCGTTTGATAATCCTCATCAATAGCTTTAGTTAATTATTGCTCATTATATTTAACGATCCACACTAAATATTGATACGTGACTATGAAATTTATAGGTCGTCAATTACATTTAATGCAGTGGATATCTCGAAATTGTCTGTCGCAATTCTCGCAATTTATATACGAAATATAATTAGAAAACTAATAATCGACAATGAATTGGTTAATAAAAGAAATTGATGACGCGATAAAATTATTCCTTAGAATAATTGCACTGTTTATAGTCCGGGAAGAGACGGCGATTGCGATCAACGGAGAAACGAAACAGCTTGTACGAACTTGGCGTATCTCATGCAGCAGATGCACTCACGGCCAAGGGAACGAGGCGACGACCGAACATTTATTAGCGTAAACGACGGAGACTCGAGGCGAGTGTTCCCATTCCAGTCGACTCCCAGCGGTAATTTAAAGATAGTTCCTAATCAGGTAAACGACCCGACCGATACTCGTCGAACCTCGGGAATGTTGGCCTCAGGGCAGACGCGTAGTCGTTCTAGGTGGTGTTCGAATCGAGAAAGGTGAGCGTGTTGGTAGCCGATCCGCAACACACAAAAGTGAACATCAAGGCCGAGCTGAATAGGGCCGGAAACGAGATCGGTGGTCGCATATCAGAGTGTTCGACGCGACCCAAGATCGTCGATCATATATCAACGTCAACGATCAATCAATCGCGAGTACGTTCGATCTCGTAATTCTAAGTCAGTTAAAAATGAAGTACTTTAAGCGATAAATAGAATAACACGATATTATATATCGCTTTACAATTCGTATTGGGAGAAGGAGTTTCGCTCGTTACGAGCTGAAGTATCCATCAGGAACAATTTTCATATCTGTTTTATTCACTTTAAAAATGATGCATAATTCTGAAATGCAGTCACAGAAGAGATTGCCGATAGAGGACGAATACAAAGCCGCGATGCACCCGTTTAAATCGAAACTCGCTCAGATGGAGATGATGGAACAGAAGCAACAGCCGACACCGTCGGCGTCGCGCGAAACACCGCTGTTACGAGAGGTGCCACTCTCCACGTGAGTTTTATGCAACGATCGCAGCCAACCGAGTCGTTTTCAAAGGGGAAGCATAAAACGTAAGCCAAGTCGACGTGATTCTACAAGGGGAAACGGCGCAAGCTTTATCGCCTTGCGAGAGGAACTATCCATAAAATTGCGTCGACTCGCGTTTGCCATTCGATCGATTTCGATAAAGAAAGGAGAGTGGCTCGCCTGGCACGAGGCGCACTCAGATCCGATGTTTCCCAATAAACGTTTGATCGGTGCTGTAATTTCGCACAGGCTCGGATTTACGAGAGAGCAACCAATCGATTGGGATAACATAATTCTACCGGAGAAGACCGACCTGTACCAGGAGTTAGCCAGGCGTATCACAAATTACAAGTAAGCTTATAGTTGTGTACCCATCCCCCGATCGATGTAACGAAATCGGGCTACCAACAACAACAGGATTACGGGCTAAATTTTATTCGATCGATCTTTTGAGGAATGCCGATTGCATCGTGCGAATCGATCAAGACGAATTTCATTGCCACCTCCTGGTGCTGCAGAGCTACAGCAGCTTCTTCGACGAGAAGAATTGCAAGGAGATCGATCTAACCGGGGTAAGTCATGTCGGACTCGTTTACTCGAAATTTAATTCCTCTTCGTTTACGATTCCCTGTTCAAGGATTCCTAACTCGATTTCGTCTACGTATTTTCTCTGCGCGTAATATGAAATTAGTTAAACTTGAAAAATCTGTAAATGACAAAACCTCGTCGTATAATTCATTCATCATACGCTATAAAGAACCTTTTCCTTCTCTAAACACGAGTCCCATTTACTACTATCACGTTCCACTCGATCACCGAGTGGCCATCCTATAAACGACGGAACGACCTGCACGATATTTCTTTTTACGCCCCGTCATTTATTTACCAGGCAGTTAATATCGTCAACGTGCGCATGATATTCACCGCGGCTTTCTTCGCCACTCGACCTGTCATTAATCATCATTCTTCAACGAGACGCGTTAAACGAGTCGTAACCAGGAATCATTGATATCTCTTCCAATACCTTGAACGGTTATCGTCCTACATGCGAAATCCATCGACGATTTATTACACGACAGACACGTGAAACGATGCTCGTGCCTCGAGTTTTCCGAGGAAAAGCGTACAGTATTATGTGAGCTCACCGAATACAATGCTTTACAGGCTTATCAATACACGGAACAATCCTGCATCTATCGAACAATGTTTATGCGGTCCGATTTTCCATCTCCTTTATTTTCTTCTTTTCAAGAAAGAATTCTATTGATACTACACTTTTTAGTTTCTTTTAGTTTCTTTCATTAGATCAGTAATAGCAGCCCTGGTGTGATTTGTCCTACATTCGCCTAAATTGCACGATAAATCACCGAGATTTAAGTAATTCGCGTGCCGCATTCTGCCGTCCGAACTGACTGCGAAGCGACCATAAATTACAACTTTCGCGGCTATTCTTCCACGATAATGACAACCGGACAAATATACGGTAGTCGGTCACCATCGGTGGTCCGAGCAAAGCGAGCGGGATATTCGATAAATCTCTCGGCGACGAGCATTCGAAATCGCCAAGTAGGCAGACCAACGGGGGTGGCAAAGGGGTTGCTCGGCGACCCCAATCTCTTGTGTCAGCATCCTATTCTTCTGGCCCCTCTATTTCCACCGGTGACTCGGTGGGCTCGCAGCCAAGCGACCTTGAACTCGTTTTCCACGTTCCCAGCTGTGGCTATATTTAACTCTCCTTTTTTTTACTTAAGGGTGAATAGAACGACTCTCGAATAACGCGGCACCACCCGCCGCCCTTTAATGATCGCTGCGAGAAGCCTCTCGCCATTTTTACTCGTTCTTGTTGTCCGACGTGCTCGCCACGTGTCAAGGAGGCTTATAATTAAAAACAGAAGGACGCGTCGTTTGTAACAAGATAATAAAGCCCTCTCTGCAGAAAAACACGGTCTTTGTCGATGTTTCTTAAATTGACTCCTCGCTGCCATCTTCTATGAAGGCGTTATTTCAATAAAATTATTTCAAGCTTCCATCGAGACGATTTAATAACCTTTGATCTATCGAATAGACCGGCGTATCTTCGAAGGCGTTTTCAATCATCTACGATTGGATGATCAGCCCGCAGGGTGAAAGTTGTCGTCTGCTACAGAGAGACAACATTCTTGAAATTTTTACCGCCGCTCAGTACCTCGGGATTAAAGGTAAGTTACTTTAGTGTTCATAAAACTCTTTGAACAATCCTTCGCAGATTTGAAAACAAGTCAAATGAACAGATATTGCGTGAAATAGGAATGTACATAAATATAAAATGCCATATCGTAATCTTCGTCCCTATCGCGTAAACGTGAATTTCGCTTCGTCTCCGTCAACGTGCGCGAACATTGTTCCCTGTTTACATCCCGATATCGCTTTCCACTTGCATCAATCTTTTAAAATACGACTGTACCGCCTAATATATGGCCGATGCTTTCTGGCACGCTTTAAAACTTCGAGCCGGGAGGAATGAAAAGTTTCTAGCACCGATAGGCATTCAGAAAAATCTCGATGGTACCGTCGAGCGCGAGTTTCGCTGAATACGTCACTGTCTAACTCGAAACTTCAATAAACCGTATGAGATCCGGAAAAATCTAGGTGTATCGCGATTGAAAGGCGAGGAACCTCGGTTTTTCTCACGCTGATACTATAAATTCTATTGCAAGAAAATATTAACATTCCTCATTTATTGTAAATCGTAAAAGTTCATATATTTTAATTGTTAATAGAACTCGAAGAGCAATGCTGGGCTTTCGTGGACAACGACGAATTATTCTCAGAGGATACCGCCTTCTTGTTGTACCTCGAAGCAAAGCAAATTCGAAACACTGCAGTTATGGAACTGATGGTGCCGAGAATCATGAAATTCTTTTTGATGCTCGTCAGTACCAAGGATTTTCTGGAGTTGTCGGTGGACGAATTATGTCTCTTGTTGAAATCAAACTACATTTGTGTCAATAGGTACATTCTCGTCGACACATACACGTGAAATGAAACGATTTCGTGTTCACTTCTGATATTCATAAATAGTGAAATGGAAGTACTTATGTCCGCCGTACGATGGATGATGCACGACTGGGAGAACAGGAAGCAGCACATGTTGGAAGTTCTAAAGTGCGTTCGATTCGGACTGATCGCGCCCTGGCAATTGGTAGATGTTAAAAGAAACCCGGAAAACCCCGAATTTATGGAGTTGATGTCTTATCCTGAGGTGCAGAAGATGGTTGACGACGGCCTAGCGTACGAATTCTGTTTTACTCATTTCTCATTAAGGTTTTTCCGTTGACTCACGAGTTATTTCAGTTTCGTCATTATAAAATACTGGTACGGTAACCAAACGGAAGATTACTATCACTGGATCGACTTGCTGGGACTTACGGAACCGACCAATCGAAACTGGGCTGGAGAGGACAAGGTACTCGAAGCAAATTTTTCTATTCGTGACCTTATCAATTATTACTAAATTGTATTTATTTCGTCAAGAATTACGTGACGTATCGAGAGTTTTTGCTTTACCTCGAGGAGTATCAGAGAACGAAACTTTCGGAATTGAAACAGCGGAAGGGCCGCTCAAAATCCGCCTCTATAAATTCACCCCATAACGATTACACATGTGCACCTCCCAGAGCATCAAATAATTACATACAAAGCTCGGGTATGTTCGAATTCTAAAATACATACGATTGAACACGTATAAAGTTAAAGTTATAAAGAACATAAACGTTTAGGAGATACTGGTGCTATCCACGAGGCTGCGATGCACTCGAGACATTCAAAACCAGCGCCTCAGAATTATTTACCGCTAGTGATGCCGGAGGGCATGATGATGCCACCAAAATTTATGAACGAGTACCTGAGCAGCCTGGAGAGAAGCAAAGGGGTGAGTAACCCCGGGGCAAATCGAAGGACTACGCAGAGACCTCAAAACGGACCGACCGAATGAAAACTCGTGTTGCAGAAAATTGCAATACACATATTTTTAAACTATTATATTTTAGAATCTATTTGATCAATCGGAACATTTTTCGCGTCATGATTTTACAACGAAGATTTAGATATTGTACAAATATTTAGTTCGTATATCGTACATATATATATATATAAACATATAATATTTATTTATTATACTTAAAATGAATATACGTACATTCAAAAGATGCGTACACTATTTTTACGTGACTTCGAAACGATTGATGTGAACACTCGAGTGAATCGCGAAAGCTGCGGAGGAACGGTGAGTCGTTTCGCAATCGATTCTCGAGGCGAAGAATTTACTCGTTTTAAAAGTTGCGCCGATTTTTCTTCCAGGAATTGTTACGCGGTTATCGTCAAAAGAAATCTCGAGGTAAGCTTACGTGCTCGTAAGTGGGAGGAGTAAATAAAATTTTCGCTGAGCGAACGTCACGGAGCTGTAGTCAAAGGTCAGAGTTTATGTTGCTCGAAAATCCTTAGCTTTGATACCGAAAATCTCTCGCTTGTACGCAACGCGGCAAGGCCCATTATGCACCGCGCGATTCACGGAAACAGCACTTACAGCGTATAAGCTCTTACCTTGAGATTACACAGACCCTGTAACAATTTAGTTTCTGTTAATTGCATCAAACCGCCGGATTTGCATTAGCTTTTGGGCTCGTGATTTAAATCGAGATGCGCCAACGTGTCTCGCGTACTATTCTTGTTATATAATTCCCATGTACGTCAATAGATTCATTTAAAACATAATCCGAAGTTAAACACCGACGATTATTAGATATGCATGTTTTTCAGTATTGTCCTTGTTAATTTAAACGACGCACTCACCGTGACTAGATTACAAACATTTTTTAAAACTATATACGGACTGGTTTATTAGAACATCCCTGACCCACATCCGACTCGACAGTAAACGTATTAGACTCGTAACAATAAAAAATTAGCATAGTTTTCACCATCGATTTAACAGCGTAAAACAGGTTCAACGATTCTTGAACGTGTTCCTTTCTATCTTTCTAACGTAAAAATCAAATACATACGTTTCGGAACTGACGAAAAAACGTGTTGATTTTATGAAATTCAATTGAGAAATAAATTGGCTTATTACTGTACAGAACGGTCACGAAAGAAATGTCGTCTACGATACAAGATTTAGCGGCGGCGGCGAATCGCCGAAGATATCCTACAGACCATCGAACATCGAGAAACACAAACAAGAACACTGTCTGCGCGGCGTAAATTTACCGGTAACGTCGTCATCGTCTGTTCTCGCTCACGAGGAGAAAATTCTTGGTCGCCGTTGCAACGAGACGCCTTCTCCCTTCTCTCTTCTTCCAGGACGTCGATAAATTGGATTACGAGAGCCAGCAGCAGGAAAAGAACGCGGCGGATGTTTGCCGATGCCAGCAACAGCGCGAGTCGAATTTCATATTTTCCGCGAGAAATCAGCAGGCGAGATGTAAGATGCCGAGGGAGCCGGAAGAACGGGCAGATTCCGGTAAATCCGAGGAGGAGGCCGCCACTACGATACAGGCAGTTTACAGGGGATACAAGGCTCGAAGAAGACTCGACGAAGTTAGTAGATACGCCGGTTGACTAAAGGCGAACGACGCGCTTCGATCTGATTAATTTTACTTGAAATGCTATATGATATATACTGATTTTTCTGAACGATAGATAAAAATATCAGCGTCAGAAGGGAAACGAAATATCAAGAAGGTAGCTGAACTTTTAGCGATACCGATGATCGAAACATCTCGCAACCCCTCAGTGGAACCTATCAAAATATCGACCAGTTCAGGGAATCAAATGAGACACGGGAAAGACGGCACATCGGTCTTGTTAAGTCCTAGGAAAGGAAGTCGGGACCATTCGATTGTACGAAAACAGAATTCGAACTGCACCGGCAATCAACTGAACGAAGTAATAAGTCTTATCATGCTTATCAGAGGTGCCTAATCGTAAAACAAATTAATATCGCAGTTCGATACGTGTTACTCGATCGAAGATCAAAGAACACAGAAAGTTACTCAAAACTTGAAGTCTATCAAAACTATCAAGTCGCCGGTATTTTTCTCTAACTACGACGGCAGAACAAGCTCTCCGTCCGAGAACACGGATACGGACGATCTTTTCTCTCCACGCGCAGAATTGAAATCTGTGACGAATTTCGACGATGGTATCGGAACGGATAAAAAAATCAGTGACATGAATCACTCCGACGGTGATAATATGCAGCGAGTTAAACCCAACGCTAAAAATGTTCAGACGCGATCTAACAACTACAAAAGGCCTTTGTGAATATTATAAATAATAATGGTTTGACGCAGTAATGAATATCAGATCCGCCTGAATAAATAAAGACTATTTGCAGGCCGCAAAGGATCAGCAATAGCGTGATCGCTTCTAATACAGACGGATACTACCTCGACAGTTCTCTATTCTTTCCCGACCGAGAATCGGTTCTCGTGTTCGGCGGTGTCGATCCTCACGAAGAATACGGCCAATCCGGAAACACTGGCAAGGACATATATAGGTTCAAACCGGACGAGAATATTTGGGAATTCATCGGAGAAATTCCGCGAGCACGACATCACCATTCGGTCACTTACTTGAGAGGTCGAATTTATATCGTGGGTGAGTCAAGCAACGGCGAAACGATTCATAATTTATTGCTTCATTTTTTAGACTTCTAAATCGTAAAGGAAAATTTCTGTCTATATTCTACCATAAAATGTAACTCGTGTACGAAATAGAAACTTTAACCAGGTGGAGCTGATCCCTTGGAAGACAAACTTCACAGAAAGAGCATCGCGGTTGGAAGTGTATGGAGTTATGACCCGACAACCAGGACTTGGTTCAATGAACCTAGCATGCTGACAGCTAGGAAGGACTTCGGATTGGTGGTCAGCCACGGGAAAATGTACGCGATAGGAGGGCAAGGCAGGAACGGGATGTGAGTTGTTACGCGGCAGACAAGGGATAGAGCGTAATTACGCTTGCCTCCTGCTGCCTGTTTTCCTTCATTTTCCTCGCTATTTATTTCTACGCTACGCGCCGCTAATTGCGACCAACTTAAGTCTTCCTAATTGTCATCCGCGTCACGGTTTAAGCGAAACAATTCGACATAACTGTTACATGGCTATGAAACGAATCACGACGTAGTTTCAACTTCAAACAATTGGAATTCGGTTTCTGTATTATTTCGTAGGGCATTGAAAACGATGGAAGCTTTCGATCCATCGGACGGCACGTGGAAGGAAATGCAACCGATGCAGATCGCGAGAGTGGGACCAGCCAGCGTGAAATATCGGGATCTTATTTGGGTCGCTGGCGGGATGACAACATCGAAAAAGGAGCTGTTCTTAAAGGACGTGGAGTGCTACGATCCGATTAAAAATTTGTTAGTTCGGACTCAATTTCTAGCACCTCTTCACGCGTGATCCCATCAAATTAAACGCTCGATTTTATCGCGTGATAAATATGGGGCTTTGATCTACATACTATTTCAGATGGCTAAAAGCAGTGGCTTTGAGGACGCCGAGGTGCTTCGCCTCGTTCTACGTAGTGTCCGATTGTCTTTACGTGATCGGCGGGGCATCGACCACGGAGAACGACACTCAAAGCATCAACAGCATCGATTTATGGGACGTAAAGGACTGCGTTTGGAGGGAACACACATATATGTCGATCGCGAGACACGGTCACACTACCGGCTCGATAGGTCAGTTTTCATAATCATTAGACTTTAAATATTCAACTCGTATGAAGTCCCCCACATATCAAATATTCATGGTACTATCTACGATAATTCAAAAAGCGATGCATGCACGCAATATTTTCCGGAGACTTACCGCTCGATGATCTCGAGTCCCAACTCGTTTCAGGTGACCAATTATTGATAATTGGCGGTGTAACGACGGCGTTTATGAAGACTCTGAACAGCGTCGAGTGTTACTGTTGCGACATGGGGAAGTGGATGAAGGGCGTATCCGCGTTACCGCATCCAGTTTCCGGTCACGGAACCGTTTCCTTGCCACCGGCGAATCTTCTGATAAATCGCTGAATACTGTAAAATAAAGGTCGCCATGTAGCTTCAGGTGCCGCGTTTGATAATCGCCGCGTCGGGTTCTCGTTCGATCATTGTCACTCGTATTTAATACGTAGCACTTTATACATCTCTGCCGTTTTACTATTTACAAATCTTTATACGATCTTTTTAATCGTCCAACGTATATCACGAATAAAAACGTATTGCGAGAACGTTTTATCTTTATTGAGTAAATGAATGTAGAACGAAGTAAATCTCTGTACACGTGACTTATTGGATTATAAGCAAGTGCATATATGTACATATCGGCCTTAGTGGTAAGTAACAAACGAATGATATGAAGCTCAAATCCAATGAGTTAGATGTAGAATTTATAAATCGTGTCAAGTATGATTACCTTTTCATTTCTGTTACGATCCCTAGCACAATCGTAGTAGGAAAACGATGTGCTTTCACTAGACCTAACACCAAACACTTTGCACTTTGCACTCGCGAAACTTTTGATAGTAAGTATAGAAAGCAAACTTTTATACCGTCACTATACCCCGGTACTAATAACTTTGTATCACTCTATTTATTTATGTTGTCAGATCGAAATTCCAGACATAAAAGCTTAAAAACCGCGAACGAAAATGAACGACGCACTATTTTTAAGTGGCGCACTTATTGCTTCGGCTACCAGGTGGCAGTAGCCGTCGTTCCAACCGCGAGCCGCCATCTGTCATGTCGCCCGTGCGTTATGAACCGCGAAGCGTGCGTGGAAGTTTCGAAAAAGGATTCGGATTCGAATCCGGCGAGGTAACTAGCCGCCGCGTCTGGATAAACGCGAGTTAACCTGAAAATGGCCGAATCGTGCGAGTCGCCCGTGTCAAGTGCAGTGACCAGTGTCCCGTCCCATGGACAAACGAAAGTGGCTGATGCATCGTGCCAGGACGACGCGGAGACGTCAGGTTCCACCGGTACGTACGCCCCACCGATGATATCTACCTTTAGTTTACCGAGTTTAGTAGGTAGTTTATTTCAAACGCGACTGTCGGAGCGCGGCCATGCAACAAGTGGCACGGAGCGCTCTTGCATGCCGAACAGGAGCGTAGCGGGTAATTGATGGGGCCCGTATGGGCCTAACCAGCATCCCGGCACAATGTTTTCTAGCCCAACATGTCCTCCCCGATCACGTGACTCATCGTTTACCTATGCGACTTAATTTTCGCGCGTAACGAGTGTCAAAAGTGTCAGTGATTTACCGATAACATCGATCATATGTTTCCGAACCGCGAAGTCTTTGTCCACAACATTATTGGAACGTTGTCAGAAGTCTACGTTCTACATTGGTGGGCTCTCGTGTTTTTAATTTAATTTATTAACACTTTTTTATTTCCCTCGGGGTCAATAACGTATAATAGACTTATCACGTAATTGCTTATATATTCGCAAATTATTGGAGACCGTTCCGGTTGACGGACTTGATCCTTGCACTACCGGTAGAAGGATATTAGTACTGGACAGACAGGTGTATAAAGGAATCGTAGAACAACTTTCTGAACCGGAGTAAGTAGTTGCATGTTCGTCGAAATTTATCATAAACAAGTAAATATAACTGTTCTCAAGGTGAACGTGACTTTAAGCTTACTAGTTCGTACACGATCGGAGATGACAATATATGTAATTGATTTTGTTCAACTCCTTGAAGACGAGTTCGTTGGTCATTGCCTTGAAAAGAGCATGACGACTTGCTATACCGGTTTTATTTTATTTATTTTATCTTCGTTCAGCTGGCTTCGAATTTTTAATTTCCGTGGTGGCGCTGTTAAACGAGAAATCTATCAAAGGTCTATTCTTCAAAGAAATGAACAGTTCTTCTTTAGATAACTTTTGTATTCACTTTTTTTTATATATTTACAAGTTATTTCTATGAGTATGATCTCAGGTGTAATAATTTAACCATCGCAGAAATTTCATGAGGCGCAGGAACTTATCGACGAGAGTAAAGTAAATGATAACTTATCCGCGATAAGCTTTCGAACACACATTTGATGTTCGAGATTATCCATACACTATCTCGCTCCAGTACATAGACTCATTTTATTTCCGGGATAGATAAAGATATCAAACAGTACTTGTCATTTCCTTTACCGTGCGCTGGTACATTACATATGTTTCATGCAAATATAATTGTTCTTGGAGATCGAAGAGTATAATTCGATACCTGATTGTGTATTGTGACGAAGACTAGTTATGCCAATGAAACGTAAGATATTTCTGTCATCTATTATCAATTTACGGTCAACAAAAAAACATCGCAAATTATGAAAATTTCAAGTATTTGATAATCAATGTGATGTATAATCATTTTATTGAATTTCTTTAAAAATACTCGTTTAACGAATTTATATTGTAAATGAAAACAGTTTCAAAAATTATGTGAGATATAAAGTTTAGTGTTTGAGTTTATTTCCCAAGATACGAACAGATAGCAGCATCTAGCAGCATCTTGCAGCAGCTTATAGTGCTTGTACTCTAGAGACTTTGAAGCAAGTCGTGGCGCCTGATAACCTAAATTGTCAAAACAAAGCATTCGTAAACAACACAGTTTTAATGTATCACGTTTTTGCAAAGAGGAAAAAGTATTCCGAAATGTTGGAACCAATTTTAGCTGAAGATAGCACGTTTATGAAATTGGCGCCTTCGTTAAGTGGAATATTGAAGTATTTAGACGAACACGCTACACATCATGATTATATGGTTGCTCTCCTAATAGTTCTGTTAGCAGAATCTGGTTTTTACTTACCGTCAACAGACAGTGATAATTTACAACGGTAAGGATTAGAGATTAGTGACATATACACTTGATATTGTGATCTGGATTCTCATATGTATGAAATTCTTTTGTCTCAGCCCAAATCTGAGGTCTCTTAGAATACCGAAAGATTGGAAATCACAGGAGACAGGGATCTATGAAATGTATTTTCAGTTACAAAATGTCCAAAACATAAACTGCAAACTCATTGTGGTCCCTTTAGGTGACGTTTTAGTACTGAACTTCTTCCCTCTTACACAGGGAAAAGTAACTTATACTATGAGCATTCGAACTCTGAAATATGTTAACCCTTATTCGAGCGATCTGTGTGGAAGGTACATCCATCTAAAAGCCATGTCCCACAGGTACAATAAATCCAATGAAATAATTAATATGTATTTTACTTTCTCTCATTGTTTATTTATGACCATTTATAGGTTTAAAAACGAATTGTCTACTCCAGTGAGATCAGATGTTTTATACGAGGCTAAAGTGATGGGTCCTAGTCTTCAAGCGCTTCCAACAGAGTTGAAAATCAAAATTTTTGTCATGTTAGATTTCTATAGCTTGATACGTATCGCACGATGTAATTCACACTTTTATGAAGTTTATAAACAGGCGAGAGTAAGGAGACTTAAAACAAAAAGTGGTTAAGAAGTATTTTATACGAAACCCTTAAATTTAGATTGTGTAATCTAATTGTAAGATCATGTAAAATAAGTGTAAGAAATGATGTTATACATACCTATTACACTGTATATAGCATTGGAAATCGTATAATAAAACTTATGATTTTAAAATAATATGTGATTTATATGAATTTTTTTTGTAAATAGAGTCATACAAGTATTCATTTACTTTCTGAATGAATGTACGTCCAACACTTGTGCGCAGAGTATGATATTTATGTCTTATATGCGACATCAATCCTTTCAATCGCGTCAGCATAATCTAAGTCCATGTTCCAATTGAAAATGTCTTTTAATTCTAAACTGGACCGAAAATATAGGACATAACAGTAATACAGAATACATAATTGGCAACACGCTTATCTTATATAATTCGTTACGAGCTTAATATTTTACATTTGCCGCCTTCGTTTCTAAATATTGAAGTAAATTTAGTTTTACATTATATATTTTTCGTTTTAGCGGATGATCCAACAAAACTATCAGAGTGCAGCGAGAATGCAGAGAGCGAGGAATCCACGGCGCAGAGCAATGGTGATACCGGTGAGTGATAAAGTACAGTTTTTGTTCTACAGCGTTTCGCTTTTGACGCGTAGGTCAGATGGAAGCACACCTGACTTCACTTATCGATTTGATGCACAGTAAAAATGAAAATCCGCTGTAATGTGTTCAGGTCTTCGTGAAAAACATTGCGACGACTCACGCTCTAAACGTTATCTTAGCAGACAAAAAGTTGGAACTAATCAATTAAATACATTTATGATATTTAACGATACAATTAATTAATTAATTCTTAGTTAATTTTTCTGTTTATTAATTTTATGTCACTCGTTCCTTGAGAATAAAGTACGAATACATAAAAATCGGAGAAGCTACAGTCTCACATATTACAAGTTGAGCAAACACTATTTCGCGTCTCTGAACAATATTCTATTACTGTGGAAAATTTCGGCAAAGCCGCTGAAATATAATCGGTACATAACATATTGATTCTCCTCTTCTTTTACGTTACGCGTTCCTGTCCCAGTGTTTATAAAGCGTCAAAGAGAAAGCAAATTTTAATCAAGCATTTATATTCTCGAACCGTAGAATATTTCATACTAAAGGTGGAATTTAGACTAATCGGGAATATTCAGGAATATCCCCTTTGTGATTTTATGAGGGAGGGATCAGGTTGATCGCGCGAACAGTTAGGGTGGACTTGATAAAAAATGATCTCCTTCCTGAGTTTGTGATTTTTATAGACACGGATCTATTGTCCCTTCAAGCATAAAAGCTCCCGGTGATTTATCATTCGCTGATTTCCGCTTCTAATTTTTTTGCTAAGTAATTTTACACCCTTGTCAAACGTATAATTTTTACTCTTTCCCCCTATTGTATATTAAGAGTTCATTCTTCAGAATATTTCTATAGAAGATTTTAATTACATTCATTTTTTTGCTCTGAAATACATATTATTGATTTGTTTCTGATTTCTAAAACACGTTCTGCCTAAAGAATAGGTTGCTAATGTTCGTAACTCGGCGATGATGTGAATTTCTTTAATCCGATCGATCGTACAAGTGGATTTGCATGTAACCGGGCGATTCCTCACATCCACATGCAAGGTCCGATCGTTAGGGGCCGGGTGGTTGATAATTGTTATCACGGCCTTCCGATGCGGTGTCGAATCGTGGTAGGAAAATGATTGAAACGTTCCTGCAGATTGGATTGTCGCGTGCACCCTGTAATGAATGCGTCTCATCGCATCATTACTTCGATTTCGTGGATAGATTGAGCGAGAAACGAGATGATTGTTACTCGTACACTCGCTAAATCCGCCAAATTTCTAGCTCAATTTGATTATCAACGTACATCATCGAATTCGTTTATAGATTTCGTGTTCCCATGCCTAAAAATATTCTAATATTCAAGTATCTACAGAAACTGTCGATGCAGTGGAATTGCCGTTTAAGTCCCTTAATTTATTAAGACTCATGATTCCCAGTCATTAGACCACTTCAGGAATATTACTAAATCTGTCCACATCTGAGTCATGAATTTCTGTCGAATGAAAAACTTTAGAATGAAAAAACAGAAATGAACATGTTCAAATATTTGCACCATTCATTGATGCAGCGTCACGTACGAGCGATTTATCGTTGTCCTTTTCTACGGTTTTTTAAGGGTGAACATTTTCGCATCAACGCGAACGGTATAATTTCTTAATACCTTTTTCTTGCCTCAGTTACGGTTTAACGAACTGCGAAGTTTTGGCATGAAATCGTTCGAATAAACCCCGCCAAGCGTAATCGGCAATGACGTTTGCCGTGTTCCCGTTTCCGTGACGCTTTTGATCCTGACTTCTCATTTCGTAGATAAGACAATAAAAAATAGGTTGTTACGAATAGACAAAAAATATCTCGTTTAACGCTGACGGCAACAATTAAGTACGAAATAAATAGGATCGCGTGCGAGTTTTAGTTATCATCTTTAAACGTCCACTGCGATTAAAACGTCCGTCTCGCACCGACGACTATTTTTCTTCCATTAAGGAATTCAGCTACGAGCACGATAATAATTAATAACGTCGGGGCGGGGGTTGTTAACGCACGAATTTAGGACGAACCGCCGCTGTAAGGTCGCCTAGGGAAAACTGGGTCACAGGCAGGTGGCGACTCGTGGAACGAGAGCGGCAACGAAGGGGGCCGTAGGAAGAGTGCACTTTTCAAAATCGACCGCTAAACGTTTGTTCCATGTGCTCGCAAGAGATGCGCCCTTCTACCTTTTCTTATCCACCCGACAAGTCTTGCTTTTTACTCTCTTGCCTCATTTGGTCCATTTATCCTTCCCCTCTCGTGTTCGTCGCCTCTTACCTCTCATCTTCGTATTACATCATCACGTTCTGGGATCCACTTTGTAAGAATCTGAAACAATTGGAAGGGATCTGTCGTTCTTAAAAAGATTGCAGCGTGACTATAAAATTAGTATAGCTGCTAATTAATGGCCTGCTAGAATAAAAGAATCTGGTATCATTTATTACATCTTTCCACCGTGGAACCAACGTAATGAAAATCAATGGAATTTGGTTTCGTCCCATATTTCCTGTAGTTACACGTTAAGCTCGAAGTAATCGTATCGCGACAAATTTTGATGATACTTGCGGGCCTCTCGAAAACGGGACAACGGCGACGAGGACGTGGCCGCTGGAGCATTCGTGTTCCGGAATCGGGACTCGTTCACAGTTAGCTGGTGTGCGCTACTATGTCGTATGCGTATTTCGAAGCCCGGTAGCGGGCTTAAGCTTGCGCCGTTTGGCTTTCCTCTTTCTCTCTTTCTCCTGGTCGTGCCGCTCCACGGACCTTCTCGCTCGTAGAGCCACCCTCCGGCAACCCTCTTCGTTGCTCGTTGCGCGGGTGTCGACGTTCTCCGTTCTCCGTTCTCCGGGTTGCTCCCCGGCTCTCTCTCATCCCCAGTGCGCGCATCGAACCCGTCCTGGACGAAAGTCCTTCCCGCTCCGTCGCGCGTACCACGCACGTTTCGCTTCGCGTCCGACCTCTCCGACCTGTACGACCGCCGGTCCTCCTCGTCGTCGTCGTCGTCGTGACACGCGGTTCTCCCTCGTCCCCGTGGATCCTCCCTTCCGGGCTTTCCGAGCGCGTGGATCACGAGAATCGTGTGTGTGGTGTGTGATCGACAGGCTCGATCGAAGGTTTCCTGAAATGTGAGGAAGATCTACTCAAAGAAGGCTCGGCAGACTGGACCGATACTGTGCGTGGTAAATATATACGTCGACGTCTGTGCGAGTTTCGAATCGTTGAAGAGTTTTAAAGTGGAAGATGAGACATCGATGTTGGTTCCTTCACGATTGCTACTTTAGTCTTGTGGGATTCCCTGCTAGGACAGTTTACCCCGTGCTGAGCTTTTACTAGCCTGATGTTTCACGTGGTCTCTCGCCCTCAGTGTACCTTTTTCTTTCGATAATTTTTGTTTCGAGTATTTATGTCGAGAATTTGATCAGATCGTCCATGCATCCCTGGTGTTCCAGTTTTATTTCTATTGCGACTAGTAGTACCAGACGTGTACATGTTAACGAGCCATGTTTAGGGTTAATGCAGGCCGAAAGTTCGTTAAAGGTATATGTGCATCGTATTAATTATACACAGAAGTGATTTTCGTTGCTGATGCTTGACTCGTTGTATACAATCTGATGGTTTGCTCTCCAAATACCAGTTCTCCTAATTGTTTTGAATAGAGTGTAATTGCGTGGTTATTCGAGGCAGGAATAATGCATGTTGTTTCAACCAACAAATATTTAGAATTCAGAAACGTATAATGCTAAAAAAAAGGCAAAAGCTTTGCAGATTTTGTTTAATAAGTTCGATTAATTCGAAAAGATTGAATCTTTTAATTATTTTCGCGTTGTGTATCTAGCTTTTACATATTCTCATTTTCTAATAATCGCGATGGAAATTTGTTCGCGCGTTGCGAACTGCTATTTACAGAATACACAAACAGGGACGAAAAGCCAATAGGGGAGTTGCATGTCGTTGACGACAATTCCCAGCTTTCATATAAATCTCGATTCTCCAACTTTAAATCAATCTTTACCAAGAAAAACGCATGCACTTTATGTGTCTCCAGGGACTATTATATCGCTTTTTTGTTATATGATTTGATAGTATATTATATCAGTTGTGATTCGAAAATTCATATTATTCGCAGCTCATCTACTCTCTATTCGTAGATCAATCCACAAAATTGTAATCCGTATTCAATACAAAATATTTAAGGAGAGTAATTTCGTGGATTGATTTTCGTCTCGCCAGCAAAATTATTATTCCGTCCATTAATATCCGTTGCTCGTTTTATTAAAAATACAGGAAGAAGAGCATTTCTCGCATGTTTCTCGCCGTAACAATGACGTGGATTTATCGTTCGCGTCGGTAGCGAACGATGGTCGTGTCAATTTCAATTTTTCGCGGACACGCAACGATATCAACTGGCAGATATTCGTATCGCGATCGGAAAAATACATCGAGCCGGAGCTCGGGGATGGAATCGCTTGCACGTGGTTAAGCGTGACTCCGTGGCTCGTTATTAGCGATGCGGTTTCGATTTATCTAAGGGAGGCTGGTGGCCCTTCCGACACAAAGGCGCGGTTCAATCTCTCCGCTCTCGGGTAACCCATCCTTTTTCCCTTGGGCGATCGATCAACCCGCAAGGTCCGATGTATTAATAGCCTCGGTATAAATTTACGCGTGTAGAAACGGACGAGCGTCGCGACACACGGAGACGGTGTTCCTTTTTCTCTGCTATCGTTTCTTCGTTATTTCCTATTCTTCATTCCCGATTGTTTCGACGAGGGCGAGGGAATTATTGTATTTCTTGTCACATACATCGTTCTCGTTTTCTTTACCCTTCATTCTTACGTTAAACGTTCGTATAGAAGATTCCTAGCTGGCTGTCCTACGATTAATTATACTCTGAAATTATTGCATGACGAGGAGCAAGTTTCATTACCTAGGATATACGAAATTTCAGTACAAAACACCTTGGCGCTCTGACTCGCGCGCTCTGCACATTTCCTCGCATCCGTAACAAACAAGAAAGATAATTAGCGAGATAATTAGTCCTGCTTCTGGTAGACCGCTCCACGTAAGAACGGTTTCGTTAGAAATTAGCAAAACATTCTGTACCGTACGTTCACTAAGTATTTCGTCGCTTCGCAAAGAATAGATGTTCAATGCAATTCAATTTTTAACACATTGCGGGACGCGATTAATTATATTCTTTTTAACGAGCGTACGTTATATTCTGTTGCAATCGTTTCAATCAACGTGGGAGTACGCGGTAACGTGCTCGCGAGAAGCTAAGTCAGCACGAACCGTCATGCCGCACCCGCGGTGCTCTGAGATTATCCAAGATCGATGTCTCGACCTCGGTTTTGCGTATCGAGAGAAGAGCCACGTTCTTTAATCGATCCCTTCTATATACTCTCGGTTCAGGTGGATAAAAAAAAGAAACACGGTGGTGTGTGCTCGTGTATATGTGTGCGCGGTCCAGAAAGGGAAAGTCGATGAAAGTTTAAAGCTGGTGGTGCATTCGCCGATTGTTCGCGGTGAATCGCGAGGGATAACGACCAGTGTTAGGTGAAAAGTATTCGTATGATGCCGTTAGGCGAGTTTCGGTGAAGACCCAAGTGCGTCCATCGCGATTAAAAGTGGAATCCAAAAGGGGAATCGGGTACCGCGCGTACGAACGATCGAGTTTGCCCGGTCGCAACGCTCGCCGTCCCGAGAGTATCAACGTCAACCTGTCGGTCTCCGAGGTTCTGAGCCTCCTGGACCACGCCGACGACGACGAGGTCCTCGCTGGCACATCCGAAGAGAACCGGAAGCGTGCCCTGTGGCAGTTTTACTCCACAGGAATGCTCACGCACAGCCACAGCGACGGCGAGTTCCCGATTTATTCACAGGGTAAGTTGCGACTTCCCTGAAATCGGGTCATTTGAATGAGCTCAGTAATTATATATTTCGTGGTTTGATTTAGACCGATGTTACGTATTCTTGTTTATTAAAAATATACGTGAATCATTTTACATCAAAACGTATATATTGTATCGCAAAAATTTCGCAACGATAACATAGAAAAAAAAATGTTAACATAGATTGATTTTGGTGACGGAAACCTCCTTGGATCAGTCAATGTATCTTCCGCGTCGTTTTTTTACTCTAATCTCAATTAATCTTCGTAGCGTCCGTGCAGCGCGGCGTGGGTTCGCTCGGAGTTCGATATCGCAAGTGTATAGACGGTAACTGTGAAGCATGCCTCGAATTTCCATCATTAGTCCAAACCGGACATCCAGTCACACCAATCCTAATGAGTTTATCGGTATTAATGCCGATCGTGTTTATGGGTCATCGACTGGCCTGATTCCGACTCGATCGAAATAGTAGCCCTAGCTTCAGCGAATAATTAAGCCGACGCGATGTTCAATTGCATAGCCTGTCTTTCGACGGATATGAAACTATTGACAAGAATTTGTACATTCTAAGGAATTATTGAAAATTTTACTATGGAAGAATATTGACAGTGTTAAAAATACGTGAAGACACATATTCACTTGTAACATATCTCCGATAATTCATTTTTACATTTCAGTAAATCGCAACTCATTTTTATAAGATTTTTTAAGGAAATCAGGAAGTTTATTTTAAAAATTCTTATTAACGCGCTCTGTGTTTTACAATACATTACGAGGTTTACGAACGGTGGTGTACACGATGCACATGCAACGCTGATACGATACGAAAATATGACACAAGTGGAAGTGCATCTTAGAACAAGTATTGACATAGTTTCCGTAGCTTCGATGCGACTGTGTGAGAGTGGAAACACTGCCAAATTCGCTTCGCTCCAGATGCGTGAGTCTCGGTGGTCCCAGTAAAAATTGAGGTTCCGTCGCAACGAAAATTTACGTCACCGGCAGAAGGTTGTGCAGCGATGCGCTTGCCGCAACACCGTTTACTGCATCCTTCCGCTTCCTGACCAACTCGCCGGGAGGATGTAACTGCGTAATCAATTTTTCCGCGGACTCTCAATTCCACCTCTCCTTTTTGCGCAACGAAAAACTCATCGCCTACTCCCACGATTGTGTCACGCGTACTGTGTTGCTCACTGGCGACGCGTGCTATTAATGATCAAGATGGGGTAGTAAACTTCCTACATTTTTCTCTGAGGTCAGCCCACCGCGGAACAAGTTGAGAAATCGAGTGAATAAGAAAACTGCTGAGTAAAAGCAATTTATGACGAATTTTTATAAATATCCTCCATTTTAGAACGTCATGATCCTTATTATTAATTCATTTCTAGATAAAAGTATCGTAAATTGCTGTTACAATGATAAGAATGTGAAATCTTTGAAATTGTGGAGAGGCATTATGCGTATGTATTATGCACAGGAGGCAACAGACTCCCATGAGGGCGGTACAAATGAATTTTTGAGGAGTTAGGCGCAAATGAATAGATGCCTGGATGTTTAGGAAAGTTCGGATCTATCCTCACAGTTGCCGTAGTTTGAACGAGACACGCGTTTCGCTGACTTGTGAGAGTTTCGATGTAGTTTCGGATGTAAAATGGTGGGTAACGTACGTGTACACACGAGACGCGTTTGCACGGTAATTTTAACTAGGATAGTTGTTGTTGCGTTAATTGGATCATCGTTATTCACGTCACAAGGCGTCCTATCCTCCAACTAATTATTATTGGGAAGTTTCTTTTACGCGTTCCACGTTTATCAACATTACGGATCAATTACTAAATGCTTTAGCATATGTAAAACTGCGAGTGATTTGACATTTTAACGATTTATAATCAAAATGCTAATTTGAAAGTCTTGATAAAATCGTATTGAACCTAATTTTACGTGTCACAGGTTACATTAGGTTTAGAAAGTGTAGGAGAAGTTTATTCTCGTTCTTCAGGGATCTAGTGTCCTCGTGATTTTACGATACCTCGGCTTTCATTGAGAAGCAAAGACACTTCAACCGCTCCAGGTTTTAATTAGAATCCCGATGCTGTAGCTAGTCCCTAGTTAGCCTGTTACCTGGTTAAGAATCTAGAACTCTGAGAACAGCAACGAGATCGTGCTGATTTTAAATTCTTCTGTGATTTCCAGTTGTACATCTTCCGGATCGTATAACTCCTCCTAATAGTCGATACGAGCGTTCAATGGAGAAAGTTGGCTAATAAAAAAATAAAACTCGTTTCTGCACTGTTTGATCGGATTTCTTCGCGTCGAGTGTAGCAATCCCAGTTTTTGTAGACATGTTCGCTGCCCGAACAGTCGTTTGCAAGGTGTTGACCTGAATGTCGGTGATAAATGAAAAACGAAATTCTTCACATCAAATAATTATTTAATATGTAAACGAACTGAAAATATGTATAGTTCGATTACTGTAGAGATATTTATAAAAATTATCTTTACATCGAACCAATATTAAAACTGAAATAATAAATCTTAAAGAGTAAAACATATTGTACCTTCACGGTACGTCCCTAATAACACAAAAATATTCCAAATAGAAGCAATACATCTTTCCCGCTGACAAAATGCTCTTTATCCAGGAAACTTTACGGTATGATGTTCGACGTACCGTTTTACCTATTACTCTCAGACAGTGAACAACGTTGAAGAGTCCCACGGGGCGATGTTGATTTATCGTGGATAAAATCCGGGTGCGAATAGCCTAAGGGAAGTTGCAGATACGACGCTCCACGCCCGGATAGTCGATAAATCGCGCGTCGAACGCAGCCAGGCCGAAAAGACAGCCAATTTACATTTTGTTTTCCGCGTCGTTTCGCTGCTGGACAGGTTCATGAAATCAGGTTTTCTTCATCGGAAGTCGATCGGGAATAATGCGCTCGATCAGTACTTTATCCTCGGTCTCCGCTCATTAATCATCGTCGGCCGCGTTTTAACATCACTCTAGCTCGTGTTAACAGGAACTAATAATGTTTAGCGGTATGTAGACTAGCTTGTTAATTACGGCACGAGTGGTAGGAATGTGTAACACTGTGGCACAGTAATTTGTAACGTTTTATCTTCTTGTCTGATCACTGGTCCTCTATCTATGTTCCTATACTCGTATTTGAGAGAAACTGTATGTATCTCGTGAACGGTATTAATGATGTTGATTGCTGTAAATGCCCCATCGAATTCCCACTGCTACTTCTAGCCAAACTGCCGTGCCGCGGTCCGAAGTTTAATTGCACGTGTTCACGTAGCTTTTTTTTGTTTCCTTTCTTTTTTAGCGATTGTCCGTTGAAGGCGCGCGCTCATCGATCCGATCGAACTTCGATCAACGTTCGAGCTTTAATTATGAGTTGGCGCGAGACTTTGATTTCCCGTGTGACGAACTGCGAAACGGGAAAGAAGAAATTTACGATGCGTATCGTACGTGGAATACCAACGAATTTCATTTTCCTGCAAGTTTTCATTTATTTTCCTATTGCTTGTATGATGAAAACAAGACAATCTCTGAAATTGAAGTTCAAGTTATGTTCTAATTCAGCTAAAAAAGTCATATTTCAAAAATTCAGGTAATTCACATTTCACGTGTCGTACCCGGGTTCCAAGTTGAATCTCGAACTTGGTTTTTCGTCCGACAGAAATCCCGGAAGTCGCCGCGGCGAATTAACTTCCAGGTACCCGTGCAAAACTTTTTAATACGTCGAAATTTCTGTGGTCTCCGTTAATGACGCGGTTTTTCATAATTAGCTAATTAAACGACGGGGCGCGAGGCTGCCCTAGAAAGTCTATTTGCTCGCTAGATTGACGTGTAATTTTTTTACGTAAAAAAGTTACGAAACCGCAGTATCGATAATGTGTAATTACATGACACATACTTAGTAAGGATAAAAAATCTGTATCAATAGGTAGTATCGATTCGTTCGTACACACAGCTGCGCAGCCTACTCGTAGAAACTTGTCGCAATCATTTTTCTATAAGCTTCGCATACATCTGCACACTATATCAATTCCACGTGGTTTGTTGCGTACTTTCATTTTTCAGAAACGCAGAGACAGCTGCGGTCTGAGCGTTAATTTAATTTTCGCGTTATTTGGCAAGGGATTCACCTGCCTTTCGTATGAAACGGGAAAAGTTTGACGCGGGGCGATCATTAGAAATATTGTATCTCGTGATATATACGAAAACGTATTCTTTTTATACATTTAGGTATCTGTCAAATTAATTATTCATCGTGAATTGAGCCAAATGGCAAGTTACAGATTAAAATCTTAAGAGTAGACTCTTGGTCACGGGAAACGGAGCCAAATTAGCGGGTTCACGGCGAGCCGGCTGGTTAACCAAAGGCACACGGCGGTGGGGATTATTGCGATTTGCATTTAATCAGCACGCGGACTGTGCAATGAATATTCAAAATACACATCCGAGCGTTTTGCTCGATCGTCGTGTCTACGACGTGGCATTAGACGTTCTCCCGCTGCTGCGCTCGTGCATTTATCTCTATTCATGCTCATCCTTCGTTGCCATAGCGAACTATCATTACGTTCTTGTTCCATTGTTAAAATGTACACCGTGACAATGGTCTGGCTCCGCCGAATCTGAAACTATAATGTAATAATAATGTATTTTTAAGTTTCGTCATGAATTTGCGAATGCATGTTCGATAATAAATTTTGATGAAAAACGTCGAGTGCATTTGAGTAATTAGAATTTAAATTACGTCAGCTTTCAGATGTTTTCGTTCGTTGAGATTTAATATACGCGAACTGTTTACGCGAGTTTGCTTTTAGCTCCGTAAAAATGAAATCGAGAAACAGTTATGAAGCAGAGATAAGTAATAAAATAATTGTGACCAAGCAAATCCCGTGGTTTGATATTTGTTACGTGGTTAACACGTTATGGAGGAATCACGAGATATCTCGTGTTTTGTGTGCTATTACTTGCTGATGGATCACGAGATATCTCGTGCTTTATCAGCGATGAATATTCATTAGTCTTTAACGAGCAACAACGGCTTAATTTTTGAGTAAATTTGCCCTACTTAATCGTGCCGCTATTGATATTTAACAGCGCCGGCGTGATCACGAGTGATCTTAAAATGCGTTATTTTAATTTCAAAATCAAAAGATGTAAAAGGCAATCTCCTTTTAATCGCTTTATCCTCGTCTCTCCTTTTTGCACGGACCGAGTATTGATGATTACGTTAATAACGTTACTTAGTAATTAGTATTACAACGATAGACTTTTTAAACATGATACGCCCTGTGTGCGAGATCGAATTTTTTATTTGTAAAGTTTCATTCAACTTAGTAAAAATATGTATTCAGTGAATCCTGTGAAACTCCCCAAAAAAGCAGATATACGTCCTTGAGCTGCGAACTGGAATCTAAATTAGAGAGATTATTCGCTTCGCAAAAGCAGGCTGTGAGGACATAAAATATAAAGTTTCGCTACAACAACGAAAAACTGATGTTCATTTTGTTCCGTGTCTAGTATTATTAATTTTCCAGACGTTTTTAATTAACGTGAATTATCAGTCACTGTTGAAACAGTTCTCTTACAAATAAATTAATTATTTGTTAAGTATCTGCAATTACAAATTGCAACAGGTGTAAATATTTAATGTACACGTTTGATTAAGATTTGCGTACCTTTTTCGAGCTTGCCTCTGGGATTCGAATACTTCATCGCAAGGGAGAAATTCTGTTCCTAAATATATCGCCCAGGAACGACTAAACGATTTCCCAGTTTTTAAAACAGAAATAAATATCTATCTTTGGTACGAGCCAAAGGAACTGTGTGCGAACTCTAGCAAACGCATGACGCTCGTTGTTGGCGTCAAAACGAGAACGAGAGCGTGCCGCGGTAAAAACTGTGACACGCTCGTGTGTGACGTAGAAAAAGGATCGGGGGACTGGGCGGTAGTAAAGAGGGATGCTAGAAAAGCGGGCGAAGTTATAATTTCGCATCGCGGGCGTCGACGACGGGGGGATTTAAAAGAGGGAAAGCGGCCGCCTCGTTCGTTTTCCACGACGCGCGGCGGTCCCGTTTCCACGTTCCACTAGGCGAGCCCCTTCAAGAAAGCTCATCCTCTTAGTAGCCTGTTAAATATTCACGAGTACCGGCCGTTTGAGCGTGCGTTACTGAGTCGACGAGTTGTGGGACCTTCGAGGTCCGGGCCTTGTCTCGGCTGCTTACAATATCGTGAAAAAGTCGAAAAGTTCCGTTTCACAATTTCCTTGGAATGAATATTTATTTTTAGCTGAATAAAGTTCTAATTATTTGATTTAATGAATGATTCTATGGTATAGCCAACGCTTTGTTAAGTATCCTAGAATTTTTCCTGATTTATAATTAACCCAACACTTTTTCTCAGTACTGTACCAACCCTCTTGAGAATTTCTCTTTTCTTCTGTCCTTTCTCTATCTCTGTCTGTCTACTCGCCAGATAAAATGCTCGTTAAGATTTATTCCTAAGAAATTACTACACGCCCGGTTAAAAAGACTACGTTCGGTTTCATTAAACCTAAACTACCGACCCGTTTGTTTATGCGTCTGGTTTGGCTAACATTTAATGCACCCGTCGCGAACATTCTCATTTTCTCGAAGATTACAGCAACAATGTTGTAAAATATTCTAAAATGGATAGATAAAGAAATTCCAATTTCTTAAAAATTTACTTTCATAACATTCTTGGTTGTATCAGAAAATAGTCAATCATTTTGAAAGTATATTTAATTCGTAATTGTTTGTGACAATTGAAGTCATAATTATAGTTTGATGCAAAATTGGCAATCTTCAATTAATTATAATTCAATCATAAATACAATTTAAAAAACAGTTGAATCCGGATTGTAATTGGCAATAAAAAATATTGGGAAACACTGTAGGGCACGATAAACGTTCACGATTTGAAATTGCTACTACTCAATGGCGCGCAGGACAGGTGAATTGGATATTGCAGCCCCTCAAACCTAATTTATCATCTACTAATTAATTTACTCGAATCAAATACGAGAATATTAGGGGAATATTGTCTACAACGATGGGAATCGTTCATCCAGGCGTACGTGTAATTCTATTTATTAATGGATCACTATACATGTTAGGCTCTAATAGAAATTTTGTAGTTCATTTGAAATATATGTATAAGTATGGTGTATATGAATTATATTATAACTATAAACACCTGATACAATATATTTTAGCAGATTTTCGAGTCATTTAAGATTCATTTGATATCTTAAGAATAATGCATTATAATTCTAGAAACTTCGCACACCATTTTGTATTTATTGAACGATGATTCGTATTAATATGAAGTTTATATCTGAAATTCGATGTTTAATTCATAGGGCATAAGAGGAAAAACGACGAGTTAATTAGGCAGTGAAATATATCAGTTTAATACAATCACGTATTAAAGTACAAAATTCTGTTATACAATTCGTATGCATGTATTACTAGCTTATTATTAATTTACAGTGTCAGTTCAATCGTCCTCAATCAGGATTAATAATTTACGAACTAATGATAGCCGATCGGTCCATTAGTGTATATTTATAAATTTGTGACACTGGTTATGTCATCAATCGGTGGTTTTCAACAAATCGAAGAACATCGGTGAATGTTTTTCAACGACCCCATCCCGCTCTGTAACAAAAATCACATTTACACTAGAAATTAGTCTACTTTTTTCGTCCTAATATGGATAATCCATGATCTTTTGTAAAATCGGTAGATTAGAAAAATTATAGTTACGGTGAATAAAATGAGGAATTGTGGATTATAGAGATTCAATTACTAGTTAAGTTCTGATACTGTACCCGACGTCAGATAACGATATTGAAGATTTCCTATTGGCTGAAGAACTTCGATACGTATTATCACCGTAATCATCGTCTTGGTCATAGAATGGTCTGCCGACCCAAAATACGTAAGGGTAATGAGTGTCTCTTGCCGCCAGCAATTCTCCATCACCTGTAGATTAATTCAATTATTTATCATAAATTAATGATTATACATTTCGTCTTTTCATCTTTTTTGAAGAAATATTTTGAAGCTATTGCAAATACTAATTTAGTCAGAAGTTGCATGTATATTCACAATTAGAAAATTTTTTATTCATTTCATTACGTATAATATATAAATAAAAAAAAACGAATATAATATATAAATGATTTCATTTATTAGAAACTCACTCTCGTCAGGCCTTGGATATGGTTTCGCGTCAACGAGCACTATCAGTGCACAGAGGAGGAAAAACAGAGCACTCTTATCCATGTCGTCTGTGTCGAACGAAATCGCAGTCGCGTTTTTGCCCGATTCGCGGTCCGTCCCCGTCTTATATACGGCCAAGGATCGCATGTATCGTGACACACTGATCTGTTTGTGTTGCAACAAAGAACCTGTTAATTCGCCTTCGAAAACGCATTGAGAATGACGAATGCTGCTAATGAAAAGCGCAATCTTGGAACGGATGCCGTGGATGTTATTACTTCGTTCCACGCTTCGCGTTTAATTGAAAATAGTTCGAAAAACGCGTTACACATTCTAACATTTATTCGTTCATGTTTCGGGGAATTATTTTTCTTCGAAGGATGAACAATAGGATGAATAAAGTATTATTCGTAGAAGGCTTTGAGCCTTGCGTGATTCATTGTTTAACATATTTATATTTTGATTAAAACTTTTTAAGATTTTTTAAATCACATACAGGAAAAAATAAGAGAAAAATATTTTTAGTGCTAATTGATAACATAATAGTTTTACAAATTTGTGGGTAGATAATAGTCATAGTCTACATTAACAATTCTAATAATTGCGTTCTACAAATATAATTAACAAGTCAAAGAAATCGCTGTTAATAGACTATTATATTATCGACTGGAGAACATCGTCGCATTAACCGTTAACTATCTTATCTCGATACGGTTTCGTTGTCTACTATCGCACTGAAATTAACGTCGTTTTCATTACTGTTATCGTTACCAAATTAGTGCAATTTTCTACTTAGGCACGCGCTCCATTAGCATCCACACCCATTCGGCCTATAACCAAGCCCCCTCTCTACTGTTCGACGTGCCTCCCTGATAACGGAAACAGACAATTAGTTTTGCAAATTATCCACGAGTTACGCAAGCTCATCGACGACGTTAAGACATGAGTAAATACTGTCTGTCCGTGAAGCGATAGATAGAGTTCTTGAATGGGTATATTGTTTTGTTTTCAAGTTTTAGCGAAGACGAACGAGGATCATAGATCAAACTGAAAAACTGTTCTACAAGAAAATCGTTTAATTCCAAACTCAATCTCCTATTATCATCTGTTTCCATGTATCAATTTATAGGCAAAATTTTAATTGGATCACTTGGAAATGTTCATCGAGTCCCTCTACAATTCCCGACTTCGAATTATTTCTAATTCAGGAAGCACACCTCGCGAACAAATAATGAGGAAGTGATTCGATTTGCCGCAAGAACGGTGGTTGAAAGGAAACTTCATCAATTAAACGCGTCCACGGGTAACGTCTTGATACCAACATTCCTGCATCTCACAGAAACTTGCTAAATGCTTGTTTCATAAAGACCGACGATTGTTGTTAAGTCTCATATCCGATTACAATCGTGGCAAAGGTTCTTAGGGCTACGGCGCTCCAGGTTCAAAGGGGGATCGGTGGGAAGTCTGGCTATTCGATTGTCAGATGAATCGTCGCTGATTGTTTTACTTGCTAACGCCAAATCGATGACATAGCATGTTTTATATTTGAAGCTTTTATACTCTTGTATGTAGTTAATTAATCTCGATCTAAGTTCATAAAACTTTATTTCGACACATTCGTACGATTTAATGTTAACTTCGTATTTAATCATTCACGAAGACTTACGAATTCAACGTTATAGACTAGTAGTTAATTACTCAGTTTAAATTGGATAAATTTCACAAGAAACTTGAAATAGAACTGTCTGGGGAAGTGCAAATTTTGTACCCAACAGTAGTAGACTGTGAAAATACTTGTCAGATTCAGAACACGTTTCAATTGTTCATGCGTGTTCTTCGCTTTTAGGTATTGAATAAAAAATTTCTTTGTAATATTGAACAGGGATGAAAGAATATTTTTGTATCTTTCGTTTCCTGAATTCTAGCTGTGTTTTCTGCAAAACCATTCGACACACGCTTTTGTATGTCAGAGAATCAGCTCACGATCTCGTGGCTTCAATCTGAAAATCAATACTCTGCTGCAAATAATATCTACATTTACCATTCATTACTTACAAGGGATATATAAAATCTCCCAAAGACTTATAATTCCTCTGTCATCAGTTTGTTACTTAATACGAAACATAGATATTTGATCAATCGCATGCCTGCATATCGTACAAAAGCTTCAATGGCTTCATCGAAAAAGCTCTAGCAGAATATAGTAATTGTCGCTCACGAAACCAAGCTCAACGCCGCGCGCGCGCCGGTTCGATAACGCATCGCGTTCAAGGGTGGCTTCATCAGTATTCCATAAAAAGCGGGAAGTCCTCTTTAACAGGCAGACTCGAATCACGGAGCTCCCCAGACTGGAGATGCTTTGTTAATCGATTATCGTTATTAGGTTAACGTCGACGAGCCTTCGAGTAGTATCTTTGTCTCGCATGAAAAATCGTCTGCCGATTTTTTAATCACTTGCACATACACTCAACGTGACGTTAAACCAGTTATAACTTTATTTGGGAATTAGTTTCTGACATAAAATTAATTTCATATTTCGTTTGTTGCAGGTAAAGACAATTGACAAAAGTTAGAATGTATTTAGTGTTCGTACATTATTACTTGATTGTTTTTTCAATCATCAGAATTATATTAGTTGAAAATATTTATTATTTTGCAGCGGGACCAATAATTTTAAAAAGAGATACGCTTAAAAATCGTCCGCGATTATTTCGTACGAAACGGAAAGCGTCAGGCGCGGGTATAGTGAATGGACGAACGTTCATTGAATAGTTAAGATCTGCTGGCGCGTTTCCGTCGCGGACGACGACGCGTGTTTCACGCTCTTTGTTGTTTTGTCAGGTTCGTCGCCATCTCCCCGGTTTTTCCCCGTTGAAAATCGACGTCTCAGCGGTGCGGGATGGCTCGAGTTGTTTTGTGTTCAGCCACGTTCAGGGGAGAGCGTAGATACTTCCTGTGGAAGATATTTTTTGCTGAGGGGAAAAAATGTTGATAGCGCTCGAACGTGAAAAAGTATCTGTAGACATTAAGGATGTATAGGCTATATACTTAAACAATGCAAGCATGTTGAATTT